AGGCCCCGCCGGCGGCCGCGGCTGCGGGACAGCGGCAGTGGGCCGCGCCGGCCGCTCTCAAACGCCGGCTTGGTGGCCTGGGCCACCTTGATGGCCTTACCATCCAGGGACTTGCCATTCATGTCTCTGGCGGCGGCCTTGGCGTCGGCGGGGTTTTCGAAGGTGACGAACGCGAAGCCCCTGGACTTGCTGGTTTCTCGGTCTTTCATCAAGAGCACCTCGATGATGCGGCCATACTTGCCAAACTCGGCGTCGAGGGCTTTCTCGTCGGTTTCGGGGCTGAGCCCGCCGATGAAAAGCTTCCCCGGGCGATCCGCTTCAACCATGTCGGCAGCTCGAGCGGTCAGTGGTGGTGGGAGGCGAAGACTCGGCGTCCGTCGTGGCCTTTGAGCCCGCTCGCCGAGGGCGGCTCCTACTGGTCCGGCAGCGCGTCGTCGCGGACCGCAGTCACCGCCCCCCCGCTGCGCAGGCGGAACGCTCCGGTTTGTGCCGCTTGGGTCTGGTTCCCGCGGCCTGGCAGGGCTCTTACTAGTTGTGATTGGTTGGTTGTCCCAGGACGGCAGTCGCGCCATTCGCGAAGGTGGGCAGTTTGGTGACTTTCTTTCCAGTCTCTAAACTTCGACTAATCTGGTCCTGGCTTAAAGTCTTTCTTTCCTGAAACCTCTGATGCGAAATGAAAAGCTTTTAGGTCAAAAAAAAAGATCCCCCCGCCTCGCCGGTTACCTCCTGAGAATTGTAATGCATTACTATCCAAGTTACCATACCATTTTCAAACAACAAAAAAAAAGTTCATCGAAAAAATGAAATGTGATAACAAAAAGTTTAAAAAGTTTGTACATAAAATATTTGTTCTTTTGTATTTGCCAAAGGGGAAGAGATTTGATAGGGAATTGTTGGTGGGATGGGAAGTAGAGGGGACCGTTCTTTGGATGCACAATACTCATCGAAGTAGCACCTGAGCAATCTTGAACGAGGAGGCACTCCTCTGAAAACCAAAATATTTGGGTTCACGTAAAAGAACTGCAATTCAAAATGGTTCCTTACAATATTCTTTGAATGGAAGTGAATGGGAAGAGTAACTTGGTGAACATTATCTTTGAGACTGCAAAGTCTAAAAACACTTAAAAATATATATTTACTGTGGTTTAGGCTTTTTTTTAGTACAAATTTTTCAAACGTTTCCGTGGTGAAAAATTAAATAGTCATGAGAAGCCTATATGTGTGTATGTACAAATATGTGTGTTAACATTGGCTTACTGCAATAGCTATATAATATTGATTAGCAGTAAAAGCAGGCATTTTTATTTCTGACTTCAATGAGGACATCATTAAGGTTTTAAGTTTTACCATGCATCACATCAGTTCTAAGGTAAACCTATCTATGAGAAGTTTTGAAATTTCCTAAAATTATGGATTTGTTAATTTCTTTGTTTTTATGTCCATTTTTACTTCATGTAATTGAAGATTCTATTGTTAGATATTAAAAAAATGAAATTTAACCCAGTAAATTTGGAGCTCGTCTGTATTAAATGATTCACGAATCATGCAGCATCCCACCTAGCAACTAGACGTGCACTCTGTGGGGCTGCACAAAATTTACAGGAGGAAAGGTGGGGGGCAACAGAGCTATTAGCGAAAGAAAAGAAATGATTATTTTTAGGCCAGGACATCTTCAGTAGAAGGTATGAAGCACGGAGAAGCATTTTTATTGAAAGAAAGAAAAACAGAATGTGTTTTCTGGATAAGGAAAGATAAAGAACATGGGGGCAGGGTTGGTAAAGGAAGGGAAAAAAAGTAATTTTCTCCTAAAGTAAAATAATTGTTTCAAAATAAGGAAGGAAAAGATAGGACAAAAGCTGAAAGGTATATGAAAGTTGCAGAAGTTTTGTGGGTGAGGGATCTTAAGAATTTTAAATAAGTCAAGCTAAGATTTCAATGGAAAACTAAGTCAGTTGCATTATTTGTATGTGAACTCTCACGAGATCATTAACCAGGTATATTTTTAAGCTTTTTATCATTTACAGACTATTGTTTTACTGGTACTTTGGCAAAAAAAAAAAAAAAAAAAAAAAAAAAAAGTTCTTACAAATGTATTTCATGTTCAAAAATTTAAAAAAAAAAAAAAAAAAAACCCTGTCAAGTACTCTATAATGCAGGTTTCTCATCACTTTAAAAACAACACTAAACTGGGTAAAGATTTACAGAATTCTTGGGAAACACTGCTAACAAAAAGATCAAGATCAATAGGAACATGGGACTAAATGAATTGATAAAAATGATTATAATTTTTATAACTTTTTATATAAAATGTTACTGGTGTTTGTTTTCCAGATATAAAACACTGTTCTCTCCTAAGCTACCTAAAACCTACAGCAATTTGGTAAATTATACCTTTGTAAACAAAACATTTATCTTTTTCTTCCTACCTGATCCCTCCAAAATTTAAAGTACTCTTATATAATCCATATGTGACCAGATTTAAAGGTGTTAAGTCTTGCATTCATGTTTCCCATTTAAAAAAATGTCTTGTACCTAACTGGGCTGCTCAACCAACAGAGGATTTGAAATTTTAAATTAATAGAAATTGAAGCAGATGACATCTGCTGTGGACTACTAATCCAAGATTCCGGACCAGGCCTATATAATCTAGACCATTATTTTTCCTTTTTTCCTTACTTCAGTTCCTATCCCACAAATAATGAGAGGCCAAGCACTCACTATTATTGTTTCCTTTTTCCTCTTAATTTCTAACTAGAAAGATAACTCAACATTGGGCATCATCTTTAAATCTACTTCACAGATTAGAACGTGCAACTGGTTGCACACATAGGCAAGGATGTCTAATGCCTGGCGATGTCAACCCTAGTAAAGGTACCAGATTTGGAAGAATACTTTTCCTTGAACAGGTACTACAACTTCAATAGCAATAGCCAACCAGAAAAATCTTTAAATTCCCTTGCACAGGTTATATTAGACAAAAGAATTGCTCTTGACCACATCCTAACTAACCAAGGAGGAGTCTGCTCTGTTGTTAATACCTGTTCTTGGATAAAGCACCTCTGGTGAAATAAAGATGAAACTAGATAAAATCTAGGCTCAAATCAAATGATTAAATATGGTAGTGCCTACTGACACCTGTGTTTAATATTTTCATTGACTGCCCTCAACTATTGCCTCTTGGTTCAGATTCTTCAAATTGGACTTAGCAATTATTATAGAAATTTTTTGTTATAAAACTTTGTTTTGCATAGCTCGATGTTATAAGGACATCACTTTGATAATGGTTGTTCACCGTTTTGAGACAATCACTAAGACCTATGAGATTTCACATGAAAAACCTCAAGAAACTATGGAAGATATTTGCTCTTAAAGAAACATAATAAAGCCTTCCTCTGTTCTGGTGCTCTTGCTGCTCAAATATAGCCTAAAGCTCCTAAGGAAAAAGAAAACCACTTTTCCTCCTGCGTGGGACATGACATACCACAAATGAGCTTCCTGGTGACGAGGGATTAACAATAGCATGATAGCCCCAGTGTTGCTTTCTGATAATTTATCAATGATGCTTTCAAGGAAAGAACTTGATTAAAAGAGGGAAAATATGAAAATGTAAATAGATCCACTTTAAAATAGTCAGAGCTGCCATCCCAGAACTACCTTGGACATCTTACTCCTCAAATCTTTGGAATGTTAAAACACGGAAAAATAACCTTTGGACTGGGCCTAAAGCAACATTATGTCTCAAAGAACTGTTTGTAAAGATAATAAGAAAGCAGACAGTATGACTACTGGACTGATGACTACTGGACTGAAAATTAAAAACATTGTTTAGAATTAGCATCACTGTATTAATTTGAAACGCCTTGCTTCTATTGATATAATTGTTCCTCTTCCCTTTCTCATAAATTAGAACACTGGAGCTTCTGCCTGAATCAGTACTTCCCAAATAGCTATTCTTTGTTTTGATCTCAAATAAATGCTTGCTGCCTCTTACCTTGGCTTTTAATTCTAGGTTAACATTTTTATGATGGATATATAAACCCTTCTCAAATTTTTAAATCAGCATCTCACTGGTTCCCTTAGTAATGAATTGAGGACAATCTTTGACAAGTATTCATTCTGCATATGTTTAAGAGTCATGATTTAAAATCCTTGAAAATTATATTTTACTGCATCACTGGATCCACAATGGGCCAATTAGAGTCTTGAAAGGCATTTTAAACCAAAGCAGGGGAAAGAAGACATCTTTTCTCTCTGGTTGCTAAGCTGAAAGAATACTAGTTCAAAGCTGCTTGTGACACATTTCTACCATGTTTACCCCCAATACCATAGCTTCAAAATATCTAAAGCAAAAATGTAAAGTACAGGAAAAAATAGAAAATCTCTCCAACAAAGAAAATGTTCTCAATAATTGATAATTATGCAGCAAAAATTAGTACAAGATTAGAAGTGCATAATTTGAAAGATTTACTGGCAATACATATGTGTGTGTAAGTACTTTAGTTATGAAAAAATGCATCAAGAACACATTAGGAAATTGATTATATATAGGCCATAAAGCCTAGTTTTTTTTCAAGCTTCTAAAAATCTTCCATTTACAAGTTTGATATTTGTCTAAAGAGTCCTTCCCCACCCCTAGATCACAAAGACGTTCTCCTATACTCCCTTCTGTTATTTTTATAATTGTACATTTCAAATTTAGGGTCAGAATCCAGTGAGAGTTCATTCTTTTCATAAAGCTTATTTTAACTAATTTCAAAGAATATTTTCATACAGAACATATCTGATAATTAGGTTAAAATCGGTAACAAAAGGTAACTTTAAAAAATGCCTAAGTTTGTAAATTTACAAGCTTATTTCCTGTGACATATGGGTCAAGGGAAAAAGAATATTCCAGTATAAATTAGAAAATATTTGGACATGATTGCTAATGAAAATACTCCACATTCAAGTATGGGAATTCACCTAAAATGTATACAAAGGGAAATTTACAGCCTTAATGTTTATGATGAGAGAAAAGGTTACAAATCAGCAATGTAAGAATCTAAGAAGTTAACATACTAAGAATAAATTCAAAGAAAACAAATAATTTACAAAATAAATTTATATTTAAAAAACATAAAACGTAAAGAATCAATAAAGCTAAAGTTTGTTTTGACCACCCTGTTTAATTCTTTGACCATCCCTATTTGACTCCTTAACTCGCTATTTAAAATTGCAAATACCTCCTAACCCAGGGCTGTTTAGAATGAGGGATTTGCCTGATGCACAAATTTGAGATGCACCACCCCCTCCGCCAAAAAAAAAACCCTCAGTAATCAAATATTTT